TAGGAAATTAAAGGGGAAATTGACAAAGGTTAGTTTCAGACTATTTCTTTGAGACTTGTTCGCGAAACAACATTATGTTGTTGTTGAAGGGAACTCTTATCTGTCGACTTTTCATGCTTTCAAAATTAAAGGCACAAGTTGCTTTCCTGTACTCTTCATTGTTTCTGCAAGACATTGTGGAAATTTATCGCAACTTTAGCTATAAGTAGAATTTATTTGCACTTTATATGATTATCTGTCTAACTACTCTGGCTGGCTTCTCGAAAGTAGGAAAGAACAATTCATTTGTTTCTACATTATACGCGGCTTTGTAAAAGGCGAAATGATGGAGAAATTTGTTGAAACAGGCATTGATACAGGTAGTAACAGATGTGCCATATCACCTTCTCATGTTATCTCACATCACACCACTTGAAATTCATTCACTAACAAGAATTTATTAGCAAAAGTGTATAAATAGACAAATGCCAAAGTTATGATTCTGGCTATAGAGCAAATGGAGACCACGAGCACCTTTACTCTTGTTCTAGCAGTATTACTCTCCGAAGATGTACCACAATGAGTTATGCTAAAAAGATACGACGCAGGAGTGCATCATTGAAACAGCTCCTCCTACAAATAAACTCATGTTCTCAGCCACATTTGAGCTGTATATCAATCAGAACAGACAGGGCATTTTGCTTTAATGGTCCCAAATCTGACTGCGTTAAATAACCGTACAACGATCAAGCATTAACCATCAGAAACTTAGCTTAAAGTGGTCTACTTTTTCGTCACATGGGGAGCTGTTTTTTGCCTTAAATCCAGGATTCAATTAGCGGTCGTGAAATTTACTCTGCACAGGATTACTTAAATATTCATAGCACTACCACCATTTCTTTCCAATGATTAGCTCCTTCAATAATGAAAACCATCACTAAAGAAAAGAACAATGCTTTCAGTGGTGGTTTTCGACAAGGAATTTTGTAAAATTTGTTAATCATGGCTCCACCAAAAGAAGTATTTTACAGCTGTTTAGAGAAAGCAAATAAGACAGTTTCAGTTATTCTAGGTTTATTGTATCAAATTGTTTTGATTGGCTTACTGCTACTCTTTCAAAATGCGATCATTCATTTTTTTAAAAGAAACTCGGTTTCCAATTGGCTGTTTTTATCGACTCGGTCGTTTGTTGAAATTTCGATTCTTAGCTAAAAAAGGCCAACAATATTATGAATTGGGATTACGATTTATGCAATTTTGTTCAATAGAAGAGCTTTTACAAGTGTGCAAAGGTCGAACCATGATGAAAATGCGGAAAAATGAGCGCTTGTGAGAAATCATCAAAGAAAATTATATCACAGCTCAATATATGTAAAGCGGTATACTAAGAATCTTAGAGCAAGCCTGCCTGTATTTTGAATTTCCCTGTCACCTCATTAACAAATTTTGCGCAAATAGGCTTTGTTACATGACCGAGGTTCGAAGCTTATGGCGTTACTACAGCTCGATTTTTTTTTGTTTTACACCAAAATGAGGTTTTTTTGAGCCAACATAATCTTGAATAATTTGCTTCGTTTTCTTACTCTTATTGCGAGTGAAATTGGTTGAGGCAGAAGTCATCAGTGATATAGTAGACCGTAGGAAAATGAAATATGCCAGTATGACAAAACCTGAAAAACTATTTATGGACGTCGATTTTAGCGAAGAACGACTAAAATATGAAATTGAAACTGCTTAAAATTATTGAATAGGAAGCTTAATCATTTTTACGCTAA